TTCCTGCTCCGTAGCCCCAGGCAGCGGCCCCCGGCCCGCCAGCTCCTGCAGCGAAGGGGCTGAGCGGAGCCCTGCTGGCCGGGCGCGGAGCAGCGGAGTGTCTCGCACAAGGTCACACGAGGAGGGCGTGGAACCCGCTTCTCGCTCTTGGGCCCCACCTAGCGGGCTACTCAGGCCCGTTGTAGTGGCAGGGTTGGCCCAGAGACGTCTGGTGCATGGCCAGCTCTTCAGGACTAGCTATTCTCATGGCACATTTGGCCTCAAAGTTGAGGTTCTTCTCCTCCCCCCCCCTTCAACAGAAGCTAAAGCTGGAGTGGACCCCCCAATTATTTTAAAAAGAGCCATCTATAACTCTTGTTTGTAAGGCAAATATCGCCGCATCAACTAGGGCCCTCTGGGTGGGTCTACAAATTGGTCCCTCAGCTCTTCAGGACTAGCTATTCTCATGGCACATTTGGCCTCAAAGTTGAGGTTCTTCTCCTCCCCCCCCCTTCAACAGAAGCTAAAGCTGGAGTGGACCCCCCAATTATTTTAAAAAGAGCCATCTATAACTCTTGTTTGTAAGGCAAATATCGCCGCATCAACTAGGGCCCTCTGGGTGGGTCTACAAATTGGTCCCTGCAGGTGCAGGGTCTGCCTATGTGCCTAGTATTGGGATCTGGGAATGAGCACTTGACAGTGAAATGGGATGTTGCCAAATTGAGTTCAGCACAGCCATTTTGCCCTAACCAAAGATTTTTGTAAGCATATCGACCAAATAGTTTCTAGCAGACATCTAAGAACCAAGATGAACTGGTGGAGTTGAGGCTAAAGTTAAATTAGGGTCTGTCTGAACTTGTGGGTGGCAGGTGAACTGTGGGGTTTGCTTGTTTTGTTTTTTTAACCATCCATTTCTCTGGATGCTTTCCTAGCAAACTGTCACAACTAAAATCAATAGTAAAAATAACATTTGTCCCCATTAATTTATATGGAATATTTACTCATTATAATTATATTACTTGTAAGATCCCTATAGCTCACCAATGACTTTAGCAACTCCTCTTAAAGCTTGCAGACAGGTTTTACAGTGTGACTACAAGGTTATCAAATCTGGGTTCTGATGAACTAAGTAAATCTAGCAACATGAGGAATGAATGTTCAGCATCTTTCTCATCACTGAGGCCGTGAACTTGCAACTTTTTAACAAGGTACCCCATTACCTTAAGTGGGGTTATACACAGACATGGGGTCCTCCCACAAAGAATGAATTGAAGAATGGCGCTTGAACAGGGGTGATTGCAGCCTTGGCATTCTTGTCTGAAGAGGTGTCTTCTCAAATAAACCGAACCCATTTATGGCTTTATCGGTGAAGCCAACATATTGAATTCAATAATAACCAGTGGAGCATTATTGTAATCTACCATATATTTTAGAAACTTTGTGTGTGTGTCCGTCCGTCCGTCCATCCATCCATCTGTGAGTCTGTTTGTTCAAGAACACCTCCTAAATGGCAAGAGGTAATACCACCTAATTTGGCATGCAGCTTCTTCTTATCAGAACTTAAAGTAAGGTAAGGGTTTAGTTGTGTCAGGACCACGTGATGTGCCTGGAATTCAACTATTTCTCATAAAATGGAAAGAGAGGTGCCTGTTAGGAGGGACAGTTATACTGTAGCATGACCAGAGGAGTCAGCAAGGGGTCAGGGATGGGGTCCAAGACAGCTATAACCCCATTGGGCCAGCATGGGGCAGGGGTGGAGAAAGGGAGAGTTATCTACTATATATTTCAGAGAGTTTGTTTGTGTGCCTGTTTGTCTGTGTCTGTCCCCCAGCCAGGGGACATGTGCCTCTTCCCCTCCCCCCCACCCACTGTGCCCACTGCAGCAGCTATGGATAGGCACTTCTCACCTGGCCCCAAGATGCTGCACTGAGAAAGGGCTGGGGTTGCCCTCTTCTCTGGATAGCCTGCATACTGAACTTCTAATTCCCCACCTCACTCCATAACAATGATTTAAATAAAAAAAATTGAGTTAAGGACCCAATCAATGCCAGGTAAATCTTCTAGTGTGTACTTTCATGATGTATTGAAATGTTGCTGTGTAGTAGAAATAAATGGAGCTCTTTATGTTTTCACAGTAGGCATGCACTGTTGGCTTAATTTACTGATGTGCTGACTACAGCTGCATTTTTAGTATTCAGAATTGTATGCAAACCTCTCAGGTGTTGCGCATCTAATGCAGTTGCCACACTTTTGATAGGTCTATTGTATAGGAATTTTTAAAATGGAATGCACCAGATCCTGTCAAATAAGGAAAGGGTTTGCCTCAAAGCTCCCCTATAGTATAATAACTATGACTGCTTGTGGCTTGCAGAATGAGGACCTAGTGGATGAGCACAGAATTGATGCCCTGCAAGGGGAGAAGAGAAGAAGTGGGGGAGGGAGATATATATCAATGCTGTAGAAAATAAAAAATATATTTAACTAAGACTTATTTCTGTTAGGTGAAATAATCAAAAACTATTGACACTACCTCAGAAGCCTTGATCAAATTGGCCTCACTTTTATTGCTGTTACTCCTTATAACTGGATAAAAGAGGTTTTTACCTTTCCTATCTAAGCCGTCTATCTGGGACTTTTGCCTAAAAGTTTATAAAGTTTTTCTTGTACACCTCAACGATCTCTCAGGAGTCTTGACTGCACAAAAAAACCCCATGTTGCTGACAAGTGGTATCAGCAACAGATATAGCTTAAATTGCAACATTTCAATGAGGATTTTTAGGAAAAAATTTAGTTGTTACATATTTACAACATTAATTGTATTTTAATGAAGTTTTTGGTCTGGGAATTGCATAACTGAGTGAAATTGCTATGGTGTAGTTTTTTAAAATTTACAGCCCCATCAGTGTTTTATTTCTTCCAATTAGTGCGTGTAAAATTTACAGCCCCATCAGTGTTTTATTTCTTCCCATAATGTGTACTTCAAACTGTCAATGAAGACAGTCCAATTACTGCAGAATTACAGCTGTGAATACTGACAGATATCCCTTAGACTGGTTTTTAGATACTTTACACAAAGCAATGTGAGTTTAAGAAAGGACTGTGGACATCCCATTTAACAAAATAGAGTGCACTGAAATTAAATTTTCTTTGGTTGGAAACTTGACACAAACCCTCTCCATACATTTTCTTGACCATTTTCATTATTAAGCACAAGCTCAGAGTTAATGTAAGTGAATACTAGTGCACTGACTTCATTTGTTTGTCTTGTATTAATGTATTTAAACCCTTTGCATCAAGGTTGGCTTTTGCAGTCTGATTTATTCTATACAGAATTCTACTGTAACGTCACACACATCATAGTTAAATAACAGTAATGTAAAGTTTAGACTCTGACCACTCATAAGAACAGCCATTCTGGGTCAGACCAAAGGTCCATCTAGCCCAGTATCCTATCTTCTGACAGTGACCAATGCCAGGTGTTCAGAGGGGATGAACAGAGCAGTGACACCCATTCCCAGCTTCTGGCAAACAGAGGCTAGGATACCATACCAGCCCATCCTGGCTAATTGCTGTTGATAGATATGGTCATGAAAGATAGGTCCATTTCTCTTTTCAGAGCTATCCCAGCCATAGGACGGTTTGCTGCAACAGCCCAAGGCCCTACACTTTGTGGGGGGGGGGGAGCTCATGGGACCTAGTGTGGCCCAGTTGGGGGTAGTAGGGGTCAGGCCTGCCGTTGTACTCACCAGCAGTGGTGGGAAGCAGAGCAACTCAGCTGTAGCCCACTCTGCTCTCCCAGCCACGTCTCCTGAGGGACAGGTGCGACCACCCCTGTACTCACTTGTGGTGGAGTGGAGCAATGAGGCCATGAGTCAAGGGAGTGGAGGTAGTTGTTTCACTTCCCACTGCTGCTGGCGAGTGTGGGGGCAGGCCCAACCCCAGCTGCCAGTGCCAGGCCCCCCACTAGTCTGCCAGGCCATATCCTTTGGGGGAGGAGACTTGAGAGAAAGGGTGGAATGGGGTAGGGATGGGAATGAAGCAGAAGTGGGAAGAGGTGGTACAGGGGTGGAGCCTTAGGAGATGTGCTGGAGTGGGGGCAGAGCAGAGGCGTAAAGAGGTGGGGCACCGTGATAGGGTCTTTTTTGTCTCTTTTGAAGCCTTTTATAGTTTTAGTCTTCATAACATCTTCTGGTAAAGTATCAGTGGGGTAGCCGTGGCGAGGAGTCCTGTGGCACCTTATAGACTAACTGAAGTGTAGGAGCATAAGCTTTCGTGGGCAAAGACCATGCATCTGACGAAGTGGGTCTTTGCCCATGAAAGCTTATGCTCCTACACTTCAGTTAGTCTATAAGGTGCCACAGGACTCCTCGCTGCTTCTTCTGGCAGGTGGGTCAGGGTGCAAGGACTTCAACATGCTCCCCCACTCCCAGGGCCTGATTGTTTTGAACAGCTACTCTGTCCCTTTCCTAATGATTCCCAACATTCAGCAATCATTTCAAAGTACAGGTTGAACCTCTGAAATCCAGGATACTCTGGTCTGACAACATCAGAGAGTCCCGGTGCCTGGGAGTGAGAATCCCGTCCCTGGCGGGGGTTGCCAGTCGAGCAAGGGAGAAATGAGTCCAAGACCTACAGGCTGGAGTCCAGTAGCAGTGGGGCCAGAGCAGAGCCAAGTGTAGGGAGGGAGAGCGTCCTGGGAGGCCAGTGGCAGGGCAACTCCCCATATCCTGCAAATTCCCTCATTTGGGACAGGTCAGGTCCTGAGGGTGCTGCACAAGGGAGGTCCAGCCTGTACGCACAGTATGCCATGGTGCAGCCATTTCTCCCCTTCTCCCCCAATATTATCTATCCAAGAAGCCACAGATCGGATAATCCTGTCTTAATTATGCACCTGGGAGATAGATTCTGTCCTTGGTTACAGAACTGGGATTACCAGGTGTAAATGAGGGCAGAATTTGCCTGATGAAGGAAAACATATGGATGTGTAAGTAACTCACTACATTTGTGGTGTTGATCATCAGCAATAGGGGAGAATCTTGTATGTGATACTCATATGACTAGTGTGAGGACAGGGGGATGTTTGTAATGCTTTTGTGTTCTCATCTTCTCACTATTGTTTTGAGTGCTGTTGTTATGTTTGCTAAATGATTGCCAGATCTTATTTCAAACAAGGGTTACTTGCATGCATGCAAGGAAGTGGATGATACTTTCAGATAGCTCACTGATATACACTCACTGATATTTAAAGAAGTGGTTATTTCCAGACTACTGTACTCCTTTCATGAAGTTGACAAAAATAAAGAAGTGTCTCATGCACTGTTACTGAAACATAGTTTCCTTTCTCATTTTTACCATATGATTACAAAATAAATTAATTGGAATATAAATATTGTACTTACATTTCAATGTATAGTAAATGGAGTAGTAGAAACAAGTCATTGTAGGAAATTTTAGTTTGTACTGTACTGACTTCACTAGAGCTTTTTATGTAGCCTGTTGTAATACTAGACAACAATCTAGATGAGTACCCCTGGAAGATCTGTGTACCCCTAAGCCCTGGTTGAAAACCACTGACTTAAAGGACAGTGCAGATGCCATTCTCTTTGCAGTTTTAGCTGCAACTGTGCTGGGATCAGGAGTGTGGCTTGTAATCATAGGATGGGGAGACAGAATCTAGATAGGAAATTGGAGCAAAAAACTTTGGGGTGGATAATAAGACAGGCCCTTCAGCACACAAGCTGGGGGAGGTGGATTAGGTGCTGATCAGAGGGGCAGACAGAGATGCAGACAGGCCTGAACTGGGGGTCTGAAGTAGCAGGGGCTTTCTTAATTTCTATGGGATGCTAAGATTTAAGCAAGATAAATTAGATTATATGTTGACTTTTGGTTGTGTTGAAAATAGGACATTTGAACAATTGAAAAATTGATTGCAGTTAATCACAGTTTTAATTGAACTGTTCAACAATAATAGAATAGCAATTTACATTTATTTCAGATATTTTTGGATCTTTTCCTGCATTTATATATTTGTTACAATGTAGAATGAAAGTTAGACCATGAAGTGGCAGATGAATGTTTAGCATATTTATCATGTAAATATCTTACATCTGCAGCTAAAAAAGTGCCCAGCAAACACTTATTCTCACTTTCAGGTGATTTAAATAAGAAGCAGACAGCAGTATCTCCTGTAAAAGTTAAGCAAACATGTTTGTCTGAG